TGTGTTGTTGTGCGCGCTTCGTGTGTTATGCGATGGTATTAATACTTGTCTGGTAATGGTCAACTGCAGCGGGTGAGCAAGGGTGTTGGAGGCAGCATCTCCCGTCTTGGTCAAGCAGTGGGTAGTGGCTTTAGAGATGGTGACAACAAGCAAGAGGTCGCGACTAAAATCCAGAGCGAGACCCCTAAACTAGAAGTCAGCAGCAAGCCGGGAAGACTCTCACTGGACAGAATTGGTGTGAGGCTTCCTGGATTCTCTAGTAAGCATGTCCTTTATGTTTTCAGTAACATGTTGTAACCTCTATTATTTACATCGTTCCACCAGTAGCACATTATAGCTTCAGGACTGTTATTGTTCCATCATTAACACATTTTAGCAACCAGGACTTTTACCATTAGAAATTTATAACCTCCAGGACTTCCATTGTCTCATCAGTAGTATAGTATAGCTCCCAGGACTCATTATAGCAACCAAGATTTACAACACATTGTAGCATTTAAGACATTCAACATTCCATCAGTATCACGTTTTGACTTCCAGCATTCCATCAGTAGCAGGTTTTGACTTTCAGCATTCCATCAGTAGCACGTTTTGACTTCCAGCATTCCACCAATACCACGAAATATTCTCCCACATATAAACCATACCACGGGCGGGATTTGAACCCGCGGTCAGAGTCTCAAAACTCCAGACCGTCGCGCTAGCCACTGGACCAGCTAGCCACAATAAGATTCGTCCAACTAGGTATATTTCTACACCATAGGAAGGTGAGCATAGGCACCACTGTGACCACAAATGCAAGTTTTTACAGACGAATCTCCAGCTAGCTTGGCCGTGACGAACTCTTGCTCAAGTGCCCTCAAAGCCGTTAACATGACTCACGAAATCGTAATGACACGATTGCAAACAAACCATACCACGGGCGGGATTTGAACCCGCGGTCAGAGAGTCTCAAAACTCCAGACCGTTGCGTTAGCCACTGGCCTATGGTGTAGAAATATACCTAGTTGGACGAATCTTATTGTGGCTAGCTGGTCCAGTGGCTAACGCGACGGTCTGGAGTTTTGAAACTCTGACCGCGGGTTCAAATCCCGCCCGTGGTATGGTTTGTTTGCAATCGTGTCATTACGATTTCGTGAGTCATGTCTCCCACATATAATTTGTTCCACTATTGACACAGTTGTGCGGTTTATCAATAGCACATTTTGTCTGCCATTACTTAGGTTACTTCATTCCTAATACACAATAATGATATGTACATCACCCCATAAAAATCATCTTACAGTGACCAACACATTTATCCTTCAGTTACAAAACACAAAGAACTACAGACCAATAGCACTAACATCCCATATCATAAAAATCTTTGAAAGGGTCCTAAGAAGCAAGATCACCACGCATCTAGAAACCCATCAGTTACACAACCCAGGGCAACATGGGTTTAGAACAGGTCGCTCCTGTCTGTCTCAACTATTGGACCACTACGACAAGGTCCTAAATGCACTAGAAGACAAAAAGAATGCAGGCGCGCATAACGGAGATAAAACACCTCAATTATTGGGAGCGCTTGAGGTTCCTAAACCTGTATTCCCTGGAACGCAGGAGGGAGAAGATACATGATTATATACACCGGAAAATCCTAGAGGGACTAGTACCGAACTTGCACACGAAAATCACTCACTACGAAAGCAAAAGACTTGGCAGACGATGCACCATCCCCCCAATGAAAAGCAGGGGTGTCACTAGCACGTTAAGAAACCATACAATAAGTGTCAGGGGCCCGAGACTGTTCAACTGCCTCCCAGCACACATAAGGGGGATTACCAACAGACCCCTGGCAGTCTTCAAGCTGGCACTGGACAAGCACCTAAAGTCAGTTCCGGATCAGCCGGGCTGTGGCTCGTACGTTGGTTTGCGTGCAGCCAGCAGCAACAGCCTTGTTGATCAGGCTCTGATCCACCAGGAGGCCTGGTCTCAGACCGGGCCGCGGGGGCGTTGACCCCCGGAACTCTCTCCAGGTAAACTCCAGGTAATGACCAGCACATCATCGAGAATCACATTACAATAACATATCCTTCCATTAGAATCAAATCACAGTGGCCAGCACATACTTTAGAATCACATGACAGGGACCTGCACGTCCATCATAACATTACAGTGACCTGTACATCCATCATAACATTACAGTGACCTGCACATCAATCAGAATCACATTACAGTGACCTTCACATCCTTCGTCAGAATCACGTTTTAGTGATCAACAAATCCATTTATTAATAACACATTCCGATGACCAGCACATCATTTCATGGTAATAACAATACATTGGCCGGCATATCCATCCATCACTTGCACATTATAATAACCTGCACAGCCTGTCATCAATAACATATTATTGTATCCAGTACATACTTTTATCAGTAACATTATAATGTCCAGAACGTCATTTCATCAATATCACATTAATGACCAGCACATCAGTACATCAGTAACGCATTCCCGTAGCCAGCACATCCTGTCATCAGTAACAATGCTGTGACCAGCACATCTAGCAGTACACATTACAGAATCCAGCACATCTTGCGAGAACACTTTATAGAATCCAGCACATCTTGCGAGAACACATTACAGAATCCAGCACATCTGCGAGAACACATTACAGTATCCAGCACATCTGCGAGAACACATTACAGTATCCAGCACATCTAGAAAGTACACATTACTGTATCCAGAACATTTTGCGAGAACACACCACAGTATCCATCATATCATGCAAGAATACATTACAGTATCCAGCACATCATACATGAATACATTACAGCATCCAACACACTGCAAGAGTACATTACAATATTGAACACATATTGTAAGAATACAATATTCAACACATATTGAAAGAAGACATTACAGTATTTAACATATTGCAAAAATGCATTACAGTATTCACCACATTTTGCAAGAATACATTACAGTATTCAACACACAGCGCAAGAATACATGACAGTATTCAACATATATTGTAAGAATGCATTACAGTATTCAACACGGTTGCAAGAACACATTACAGTATACAACACATATTATGAAAATACATTACAGTATCCAGTACATATTGTAAGAATACATTACAGTATCCAGCACATAGTTTCATCAGTAACTCAACAGCAACCAGTTCATTATTCCATCAGTATCACTTCCACAGTGACCAGCACATTTCATCAGCAACACACTTCAGAGAACGGCACATCATTTCATCAGTAACACACTTCAGTGAACGGCATATCATTTCATCAGTAACACACGTCAGTGAACGGCACATCATTTCATCAGCAACACACTTCAGTGAACGGCACATCATTTCATCAGTAACACACTTCAGTAAACGGCACATCATTTCATCCATAACACGTTACATTGACCCTTGTTCAAAGTTATTAAGTAATCCAAGATTAATTTGTTAAATCACTGTAAAGGTTTCAAATTTTACTTGAAGCCTAAACACACTATACACTCGAACACTTCACTCGCTTTCATCAAGATCACATTACAGTTTCAAGCGTTTCCCTCTTTCTCTTAATACGTATGCACCTTCTTCCACAGACCGAGTATCGTCTACTAAAGCAGCAGGAGGTTGTGGGGAAGGAGGACCAGGGGAAACCAGAGACAGCAGCCACAGCATTACCTCTCCTTCATTTACACCTATTGCTGAGGAGGGGGAAGGTGCTGTCAGAGGTACAGTGGTGGAGGGTGCTGCAGTAGTTACCACTACAAGGGTGACGCCTTATAAAAGGCTTGTTAAATTTCTGGGCAAGGTAGGTTATCATTCATGAGATATCTGCGTTTCAGTTTCTGATATTTATGTTCCGCATAATGAAAAAACTACATAACACTATAATCATCGAAGATTTTTCTAAGGAATATTTTAGAAATATACATGTAACATTATTAATTTGTTTTCAGGATTCCTCTCAACAATCAGAAGCTGACATCCCTGCCCATGCAGTCTTTCTGCGAGAGCCACCCCGCAGAAAGGTAAGTACGAGATCGTTTTCTGTTAATTGTAATTTCAGACCGAAAATGTTTTAGGGCAAACGGAGAGAAACTCAAGTAAGTTTGTTTTCGTAGAATTTTATTATTTTTTGATGATTAAAATTGTCCTACATAGTAACATACATGTAAATTACCTAGGATAATGTCCTTAAAAAGTCAATGACTTATTTCTATCGGGGTCCTTGTAATAAAAAAAGCGAGTAAATAAAATAAAATGAATTACAAGAGCATAAAAGGTCGAAACCAGTTGGGAAATAAGTTACACGAGTATTAGCTATCTAATAGTAATATATCTTTATTCCTATAAGTACATGTACAAGGTATGCAGGCCTAGCTGATATCAATGACATACTACTGTATAGAAAGCAGCTTGTTATGCTGAGCATTTCGGGCAAATTAGGTCAGTTTTGCCTCAGGATGCGACCCACACTAGTCGAATTAGACCCACGTTTCCATTTTGCTGATGTAATGTTGCTTATCCCTTTCCTCTTGAAAAAGCCAATGACCTCATAAATGATTGGTCCGAAATATCCAGGCATGAAGATCTTCCCGTAGCTCGATCGCTAGCGCACTCAGCTCACACACTGAGGTCCAGGGGTCGAATCTCCTCCGGTACGGCTGGAAAGCATTAAAAGCCGCTTGTTATACTGAGCATTTCCGGCAAATTAGGTCAGATTTGTCCTAGGATGCGACCCACACCAGTCCACTAACACCCAGTACACATTTTAAACTGATAGGTGAACAGGGACAGGGACAGCAGGTGTCTTAAGGAAACGCGTCCTTAATATACGTAATATAAGTTTAATAAATAATAATATCTTTATTGTAGTAAATAAAGATATTTATTATTTATTTATTATTAGTAGTATTATTTATTATTTGTTTATTTATTATTAGTAGTATTATTTAGAAAAAACTTAGTGCTTCTGAAGAAATGTTGAAATTGATTAATTTTATGATCCAAAATATTGATGAGAGTAATTGCCTCTTCACCGAGTATGAATTAGATAATGTATTAACTAAAGGTCAATCAACCGCCCCTGGAGAGGTTGGTATAACCTATGATATCCTCAGAACTCTAAGGCAGGTCCCTGATAACCCTTTGCTAGCACTGTACAATCTCATTTACATTGAGGGTGTTCTTCCTACTTCCTGGACCAAGTCTCATTGTGACTATCCCTAAACCCCAAAAACCCTACACATTTACACCGATCTCCTTAACTAGTAAAAACTTTTGAAAGAATGATACTTTACAGACTGTACTATAGAATCAAACATCAACTTTCCTCTCATCTCTATGGGTGCATGAGAGGTAAAAGTGGGCAGAATTGTATTTCCACCTTTCTCACTGCACACACACCTACTAGTTTTACCACTTTTCTTGATCTAAAATCTGCATTTGATCGCGTAAGCAGAACCGTTATACTACATGAACTAGCCAAAATGAATATTGGTGGTAGCATACTCTTTTGGATAATAGGATACCTGTCAAATAGAGTATCCTCTGTCCTCTGCCAAGGCTTTAGAACTGAGTCTAGAGAAATGTCTCTACGTACACCGCTGGGAGGATTTCTCAGTCCCATGCTATTTAATGTTCTAATTAATGCTCCCTAAATGCTCTACCTGCCTCACCTAAACATATAGCTATAAGCTTTGCTGATGATATCATGAGCCACACAACAGGGCATAAAAAGATAAGTACCATTCTTAATGCAGTTCAATCAATTTGTAATATATCAGGCCTCATGATATCTTCCTCTAAAACAAAAATATTAACAAGCAAACGACATCCCCTACCCATCTATTTGCAGGGTAAAAAAAAAACATTAGCTACGTTAAAATTACAGATACCTTGGTGAAGATGTACCCTTCAATAAATCCACCATACCACAACTAAATAAGAAATGCATAGTTAGGCTAAATGTTGTCAAAGCTGTTGCTGGCTACAACCTCAACTATGGTGCTAATGTGAGAATCGTGCGCTGTATAGCCCTTGTGGCTTAGCGCTTCTTTTTGATTATAATAATAATAATGTGAGAATCGTGAGAATGATGTACATAGCGTATGTTAGGTCCATAACTGATTATGCTACTCCCATGTTATTAGGAGGTAGAGAAAGTTCTCTCCGACCCTTGAGTTAATGCAAAATGAAGTTCTCAGAATTATTCTTGGCTGTCCCAAATCTACAAAGGTTCTTAATATGAGGAAGGAGCTTGGTATGCTTGTATCAGTGATTGGATTATTGGGATTAACAGTGTACTCTTTATTAGAATGTTAAGAAATGAACCAGACACCGTCACTATGAATCTTACTAAATGTCTAGAAGTAAATACACACAGACGCAAATGGATTTTGAAAACATGCAATTGTATTAAGTGTTATAACCTGCATGAACTCCATCACTGTAGACAACAATAGCATTTCACCCATCCATGGAAGATGTATTCATTTAATATCACATACTCGCAGGCCCGATTTAGACCTTGGGGAGCCCTGGGCACTTTAGGTTTGGCAGGCCCCCAGCATGGAAATTAAATGGAATTACAAATAAGAAATGAACTAAAATGAATGATAAACAGCAGTTTTCGAAAAAAAACATGTTAGGTTTCGACGAAGATGTCTGATTTTATTTTTCTCAGTTTTATTGACTTTAAGAATAACCTTGACTATAATTCTCAGTTTGTAATGTCCATCTACACTATATAACAATTACCGATGTGTATGGATATATATGTTTGGTGTCACGCTTTATCACACATATTTTTTATATAATAATTTGTTAATGGGCCGACCGACCGACCAACCGACCGAACAACCAACTAGACAATTAAGTTAAAATATTGTAATTTGTAAAAGGAAGAAACCAAAACCGTCTAACTTCAAGAAAGAAATTGATTCAATCCCTCTTTCTGTAAAAAAAAAAAAAAAATAACCCTGTTAAGAGAGGGCAGCTTACAACGGCCAAGAAAGGGTTCTTCACCTGTTTTTTACTTTTTAGTTAATTTACTTTTGATCATAAAGAACGCTTCAAATATTAAGTCTCTTATGGTCGTAATGAGTTATTGGTGCAAATATTGATTGTTGAGACACACACACACACACACACACACACACACACACACACACACACACACACACACACACACACACACACACACACACACACACACACACACACAGGAATTGACACAGGAATTGACAAGGTGGACAAAGACAGGATGTTCCAGAGATTGGACACAGTAACAAGGGGACACAGTTGGAAGCTGAAGACACAGATGAATCACAGGGATGTTAGGAAGTATTTCTTCAGCCACAGAGTAGTCAGTAAGTGGAATAGTTTGGGAAGCGATGTAGTGGAGGCAGGATCCATACATAACTTTAAGCAGAGGTATGATTAAAGCTCACGGCTCAGGGAGAGTGACCTAGTAGCGATCAGTGAAGAGGCGGGGCCAGGAGCTCTGAATCGACCCCCGCAACCTCAACTAGGTGAGTACACACACACACACACACACACACACACACACACACACACACACACACACACACACAACATTTACAGGGATAAAAATGTACCAAAGGAGATAAGACAGCATCAGAAGAGAACTTTATATAATTATTTCATAGGGCATATAATTGTAACCACGAACGAGTGGTATTGATCAATAACAACACTGCACTTGCCAAGGATTCGAACCCATGTTGTACTGGCCCGCCATTGTGAACGAGAGCCACATGACGCCTTAACCCACAGGACTACCCAATCCTACAAGAACCAAGCACCCAGCCAAGTGGTCCTGTGGGTTAAGGCATCATGTGGTTCTCGCTCACAATGGCGGGCCAATACAACATGGGTTCGAATCCTTGGCTAGCGCAGTGTTGTTATTGTTCATAGGGAATGTATAAAATATAAAAAGTAAGAAGAAAAAGTATATGCTGCCTAGCTAAGATAACACAAATCTCAAAATTAAATTTCTCTATAAAATTTGACGACAAATAGGTTATCAAATTATAAAAAATATTGAATTTTAATTTGATCACAATTTCTAAAAATTCTCTAAAATAGTTAAGTATGATTTACTGAATAAATCAGGTGACTTTCTAGTAGTGATATTAATTACCGGTTTTCAGATAAGTTGTGCTGCTATTATTTTTAGATTGTGGACATGACTGCAAAGTTTTTCTTTTCGTATACTGCTGTATAAGATGTTATTGTATTCACACTAAATAAAATAAATACATAAATACATATTTACACTTTACATACATATTCACCCTAATACATACATAAATACATTTTCGAAGTCAGACTGGGATAAGTAAATTTCTTGCATAATCTTTCCAGTCTGCAACAAATCACCAAATTTACATATCAAACAATACACAAGTAACTGGAATTAGCAAACCATACATCACATTTATGCATCACATGATCTCACTGCAGTATTTATAGAAAGTCTTTCTACATTTAGCATCTGCCCAATCTTTAACTAAATCGTCAAACTGTATTTTCTTGAGGACACTTCTCTCAACATACAATAGGCACAGATCACTTAGTCTTTCATGAGTCATTGTCGTTCTAAGATAATTCTTTATCAGTGCCATTTTGCTGAACGACCTTTCTCCCGAAAAACTAGTAACCATCATGTTCAAATATATTCTAAGGGCTACTTTAACACCTGGAAAGGTATCAGCAAGCCCTTCATCATGTAGTAAAACTGCCTGTTGACATGGAGTGAGACATGACCTGAGCTTGGCAAAGGCTGCAAACTGGACAATTCTCTCAAACACATTACTGAAGTCTTGAGGGTAAACACTGCTAAGTTTCTTAGCCTCATTTTTTCTCTCTTCATCATGTAGACTGCATAAGTTGGCTATTACACTGAATCTGTCATACACTGCTTGGTATGCTACCCAGCGTTGTTGTAAGGCAACACACAACTGATCTAAAATGACACTGAAAGTTTCACATCTGAATTTTTCTCTCGGAGACAAAACTTCCTCTGAGACTGATGTTGGGTATGCATCATATTGCTTGTT